CAACTGTTAGGAATCTTAATACCTAGGAGGAGATTGCTGTTAAACAATTCTGTTTTTCATTTTTTATGATAGCTTTAGTCATCATTTTCAAGAAAACATAGTCATATCTCATTAAACTGACTTTTTTATTTTATATTTTATAACGGTTGCTGAACAGTAGGCCTATAAATTCTGACTATTCCAGTAACCTACAGTAAATCTAACATGGTTTATAAAATAAATTATTACCTTTATTTATTTTATATTTTACAGATTGTTACATAGATTTCAAACCCAGGTACAGCCAATGTTCCAATAATGAATATGTCTTAGACAAACTAATCTATAGCTCACCAACCAGCTAAATACTGAATTTGTCCAGGTATTGTGACAAAGGTGAGCTCAGATGCTTACCTGCGCTGGGAAGGAAGCTGCGGACACAAGGTGATGCGAGTACAGAAGACTGGTCAGTTCTACTGTCTAACCTGCAGACAGACTTCTGCATCCAGCACGCAGAAAGTTGTGTTGGAAGTCTGTGTTGTTGCAGTGGACATTCCACACCTTATCAGGGTCAAGGTAAAGCAATAGCTTTGACAAATGATAGAAGTAGATTTTCCATTTCCATGCTCAAGCTGTTGTCAGTTTTATGATAATAGTGAAAGTATAGTAATTATTGAATTACCACCAACAGAGTGTAATGTAAATACTAATTTATTTGGAATATTCCTAATTTTAGACCTAATCAAAATTTAAAAACAACTGTCAATTAAATGTCTTGAATCTTGAACTTCCCAAATTTTCATTCACAACTAGAACAAACAGACATACACTGGATTTTATATAGATTTTCGGTAGGGATAGACGGGATTGAATTGTTAGTTCGAGACGGGTCAGGATTTTTATTTCCTTCCCTATTTTCGGGACAGGATTTTTTTCCTTTGCAAAAAAGGGTTTGTTTTAAAAGTATCGAGTATTGCAGTTACAAAAAAAATCAATTTTTACTGTTTGTGGCACTCATCTATAAAAACTAATAATGGGTAAAAATTTACAGCTGTAGAAAAAACGTTGTGAGTAAATAATGTCATATCTGGTGTAGTTTAACTGTAAAACATCAGTCTCATAATATAACGATCACTAACTACTTAAAATCAAATATAACTTTACAATCACTTTCATGCTAAGGAAGGAGCTTATGGTTGGTTTATTTCAAATGCTCTGACACCTTTTGTCTGTGTTACATTAAATATCTTTAGAATATTTTTGTTATTTTATATTTTATATGATTTTACATAGTTTTTTAAAAGAATTTTAAAAAGTTGCCCTATTTTAAGTTCTTGACATTATGAACTTAAAATCCCCTTTAGTTAAGAAGACAAATTATTGTAATTGTTCAAATGAATGCCCGATCTATTGGAGTGTTCAGAATATTTTACAAATTACCAGAGAGATATATTTTAAAATTGAGAAATAATAATAGTCAAGATTTTTTATTTCTGTACTTTAGGAATATTTGGGGAAATAGCTGTCCAACAATTGTAACAACCTTAGAAGTTCTGGATTCACTGTAATCCAAAATAATGCATACTGATAAGAAACTATAGTTCAATGTGAAATTTAATTCACTGATATTTTCTATATAGCATTAATCAGTCTTCTCACTTTGTACTTATTATACTAATAAGTCATGTTGTTGGTCACTTTCAAGGTCAAAAGTGAAACGGCTAGAGTATTATTGGCAGAAACAAGTGGTCAAATATCTTCTGAAAAGGTTTGTAGTTTTTCTTTGTTTAATATTGTCAATTGAGAAGCTTAGTGTACGGTAATTAACTTTGTCTTGTAACTGCAGTTGTTGGAAATGAATGTAAAATATAGCATATGTTCATTTTTAACTGTTTTTAAGTTAGTAAGTTAACTGACTGACTTTTGAACAAAGTAGCTCAATAGTGGAACCTTCTGAAGATAATCAAACATGGTTGGTTCAATTTCAATACTGACTTTATGTAATGTTTTATTGCTTCAGTGTCAAGGATAACCCTTGACTTTCTCACCGTCTTTGGATAAACACTGACCAGAAGGTCACCAATCATCAATTATCAATTATTTAAGATGGGGACGCCACTACATAGTGAACGTCCTATAACGTTTATTGATATTGGACTCAATATCAATACGCACATGCGTATTTTAACCCAAATATGAATGAAGGATGATAGTAGGATGAGTGGCGCGATCTTGTAGTCTTGTTAGTGACTAAGGCTGACATGTTCCTTAGACACAGCTGTTAATTAATAGCCCATACCGCTAAAGGCAACTAAGGGACCTACAGTTTATAGTGGAATCCGAACCACATTTTTTCCTTGTAATTTACGACTTGGTCTTATTATCAGGATAGTACTGTGGATAGTCATAGTACTCACTAGTGCGGACGTTAATCCACACCAGGGAGCATCGCATCCACAGTGCATCCCTATAAATATCTACAATTCGTGACCTCCTAGTAGCTGGATTACAGGACGACGCCAACCGTCCTAGTCATGACAGGCAGTTAAAGTTTAATGATGTATGTTTTTTGTTTGAATCACGCCCTGGGGTTAGTTTTACTCAACTAGACGTAAGACTTCCATATATAAGATGTTTAACTGTCTGGGATTTGCCTGTTGGGTTGGGTATGATGATAATAAGGCCTAGAGTGTCCAATCATTAATTGGTCACCTCTTAGCGTCTTTTATTTATATTTACCATCTTGTTAGTAAACATTTTATTTTAAGTGTTAAAAAACCTCAACCAAGATTAGTCATACACTGTATTATAAAAAGACTTAAGTCTATGTCCAAAGTAATTAACTACATCTGCCTTTTAAAAGTTTTAGTTTATTATCTCTCACTTTTGGGTGAGTCGGTAGTTGCCATACACTTCAGGCCCAAGGCAGCAATGTTGTGTGTTCAGATCCTGGTACAAGCCCCAAAAAAATAATAAAAATAATTCTAATATGTTTTCTAAAAATATTGTTTGAGTTAACAAAGCGCTATTTCTGTCACAGAGCTACAATATGATCGGAGTTATTGGATCTACACTGAAGTGCCTTGCAGTTGTGTCGGAAGTTTTGAGGAACTCATTTGGGGACATTATTGAGTTTGTTCTTGAAGAGCTTTAACTTTTATTTTGTGTTTGACTGATTCACAAGTTTAAATCAAGTGATATTTTTCATATTAAGCTTCAACTGTCTCAAAAATTAGTAACTGAGTTATTGGAAAATTAATGTTTTAATAATCGTCCTTTATTTTGTTTTGTCACTGTCTTACATTAGTCTGCAACATAAAAACTAGTCTGTAAATAAAAGTTAGGTTAAATGACAGTATTTATAATACCTGTATGATATTTCTATGTTGGTGCAATATGATCAAAGTTATTGTAATCATTTCTTAGAAGTAGGGATGGTCAAGTCTCGAAATTTCGGGAAATTTTCGGGAAATTTTAAATCTCGTTACACGAGACGAGATTTTTTTTTGGCCGAGATTTTTATCAAGACGAGAATTAAAAAAAAAAAAAAAAAAAAAAAAAATTAAAAACGCCTGCAGAAAGTCAATGCAATACCCGCAATACAGGAGCGTGTTGTAGTTGCGTTTCCTTTGCGAAGGCGTTCTTATTTAATTAATTCTTCAAATGTAAATATTACTTTAATTATTTTAATAACATTTGAGAAGTTTTGTTAAGTGTTAGCAGTGTGAGGAATGTTTTATTACTATAAAAAAAGTCAAAACAAGTAACTATTTTATAAAAATTAATTTTTTATTTTATGATTTATTTTATTTTAGGATAAGTTGAACTCTATCCTAACTGATATCACTATGTTTCCTAATCGTAGGCATTTTTAATAAGTTAGGCGTGATTAATGAAAAATGTTATGCTGATGTTTTTTAATAAAAGATTGTAAATATTCTTGCCTATTATCATTATTTTTGTATTTAAACAGTCATCTAACAATGTTACAAAATCGGGTAACAATTCCGAACGTGCATTTCTCGTTGTGTATGAGAAGGGAAATCCCGTCTCGATCTCGTCTCGAAATTTTATGAGAAATAAAAAATCTCGTCTCGTCTCGTCTCGAAACTAAAAATCCAATCTCGTCCATCCCTACTTAGAAGATTCGTAACTGATAATTATTATAAACATCAAAGACTAAAATGTATAGCTTCCTTTGTGATATTGAATATTAAGTAAATACTGATGTAATGTTTTTATTTCTTTATATGGACTTTATTTAGTGATAAAATAAGAGATATTCAATGTGTAGTATAAAAGATGCGATTTAATGTCATTTTAGAATTAGTTAAGTAAAATAAACAGTTTTTTCTAATTATTTTAAAATGCAAACCTGTTTTATTTGCCAGGAGTAACTTAGTTACTACTCTGTTATTGTTTATCCCTGTCATCTGAACTTTAAATCAAAAATAGAAACATTCATTATTGTCTATTTCATTGCCAAGTAGTTTTACACTTTTAAATAATTTTGAATTAAATTTATTTGAAAACTTCAGCTGTAGCTTTAATGTTTTTATTTATTGCTCATAAACAAACAAAATTAGTACGGCAACGTTTTCTTGTCTATGGTAAAAGGTACTGTAAATATTATTTAGATTTTTGTGACAATATAAATATACAGTAGTACAGGTATAAGTTTTGATTTTTTTGTGAGTGTAGAAAAAGATCTCTCACATCTGTTACAGTAGTCTAAACTGCTAGTCAATTTGACGCCCTTATGTGCTTAAAAAATTATATTAAATTTAAGTAGAGTTTCAGGTTGATTGCAACATTAAAAGATTGCTGATAGGTTAACCAATATGACTTTATTTTATTAAGTAACTCCCAAAATTATCTTTTTTAGTACATCCTGTAAAAAAAATTATTGACTAGCAAGATAAGTTGCTCATTATCAATCTCTCTTGACTTTTGACTGCAGATAAAATAAGTACCCTACCACTAATTCAGCTCATTCATTTTATTGAAGCCAGTTTCTAAGAATGCTGTTATTATACGTTGTTGTGTTTGTTTTATCTACTTTTGATGTCAAAGCATTGGAATATCCGGTAGTGCAAGTGGACCAAGGTGCTTTACAAGGAGTGGAGGACCAAACAACATTGGGGAAGAAGATTTACAAGTTTGTTGGAGTGCCTTATGCCAAACCACCTGTGGGCAAGAACAGGTTCGAGGAGCCCAAGCCAGCTGAGAAATGGCAAGGTATTTACCCAGCCACTCAACACAGTTCTGTTTGTTTGCAGCATATGTTGAACTATGACAGCCCAGATTTGATAACGGGAGAAGAAGACTGCCTGTATTTGAACATTTACACCCCGGCACTATCCAACTCGTCAAATCTTCCAGTTGTGGTTTATTTCCACGGGGGAGCGTTTATGTTCGGAACTGGGCACATTTTCACTCCTCATTTTATCCTGGACAGATTCGACTTTGTGTACGTATCAGTCAACTATCGACTCGGCCCTTTTGGGTTTTTGAGCACCGAAGATGAAATTGTACCTGGGAATAATGGACTCAAAGATCAAGTGTTGGCTTTGAAATGGCTGAATCAAAATATTGCTGCGTTCGGAGGTAACAAAGACGATGTTACTCTCTCAGGGTTGTCTGCTGGCGGAGCCAGTGTGCATCTGCATTACCTCTCCCCTCAGACTGCAGGATTGTTCCAGAGAGGAATCTCCATGAGCGGATGTGCCTTGAATCCTTGGGTGTTGGCTGAAAAGTCGGCAGAGAAGGCAAAACAACTTGCGTCTTCTGTTGGGTGTCCAATTGACACTTCTGAACAAATGATCAATTGTTTGAAGAGAAAACCTGGACGGAATATACTTGAACAGTTAAAGTCCTTGTTCTGGCCTTGGGAAACACTCCCTTTCTCTCCTTTTGGAGTTGTAGTAGAGACTTCTGGGAAGAATCCATACTTGTCCGAACACCCTTTGAAACTTATCTCAGAAGGAAAGGTGGCAGATCTTCCTTGGCTGACCAGTGTTACAAAGGATGAAGGCCTTTATCCTGCTGCTATGTTTATCGATCGGGAAGAACTTCTCAGTGAATTAAATGATAACTGGAACCAGATAGTACCCCACATCTTGGACTATAACTTCACTATTCCATCGGATGATATGAACAGTGTAAGTGAGAAAATTAGACAGTTTTATTTTAAAGGGGATCATGTTTCGATTCAAAATCGAAACAAACTTATCACCCTGATAGGTGATAGGTTGTTTAAGGTAGATATGGAAAGAGCATCACGGTTACAAGCAAAAGAAAATCAGTCACCTGTGTACTTTTATGAATTCGCATATCAGGGTAAATACAGTTTCTCCATGTATTTCACCAAGTTTAATGAAACCTATGGAGTAAGCCATTGTGATGATTTGCTATACATTCTTAATTTTCCAATGTTGACACCTTTGGAGGTGCTGGAAGATAAGGAGGTAATGCTGAAAATGACAGAAATCTGGGCCACCTTTATTCAATCCGGAAAACCTTCTGTAGGAAAAGATGTTGTATGGGAACCAGTTTTAGGAAATTCTGAGAACTTCAAATATTTGTTGATTAACTCTAGTAAGGACATAAGAAGACAGTCTGCTTCAGAGTTCGGCAACAGAGGATTTTGGGATATGATAAAATTTGATGAACTTGAACATTCAGCTGAAATAATGAGGTTGAAGGTTAATTGTAGTGTAAGTAATTATTTATAAGTACAATATTATACATCTTCACTTCATAAACATGACTACCCACAATGCAGAGCATATTTTAAGGGATTTCCACTGGGCAACAGCGGTGCCCGACTAAGCAATGTCTAATCAACCAAAATATGTGCCTATTTGAAGTAAAAGTAAGAACTTAGCATTCAATTTTTAATTACTCCTAAACACCCCCTGAACAAGAAATGCTCAATTATGCACTGATTTACAACTATTAGCTACATTTCATTCCCAGGTATTTAGATTATACCTTTTACAAATGAATTTCATCAATACTGTACACTAAATATTAAAAAAAGTTGTAAATGTTTTAACTAAATTTTTCCTTATTCTAACAACGTTTTATGTTAACTAAAGTCTGTCGTCGTTAATTAACACAGGTCATGTGTGTAGGCTTAAGTTATATTACTTTACTAAAAATTAAAAATGGTAAAATGTAGGAACAGAATTCTTTTGGCATTTGGCATAAATTCTGATACATTTAAAATGTGAATCATGAAAAAAATATGCCGGCACCATCCAGCCACTGGGCGACAAAATCTTAGCACTTTGTTGCCCAGTTAACATGTTATTTTATGCCCTGCCATAATGTTCTTACAATTATGCAACACTAGTTTAATCACAGTTTTTTCTAACTCTTATTGTATATTGTTTTTGTTATTAGTACTTGTGATTCTTAAAAAGGCTGACAGATTTAAGTCCCTGTGCTTCATGCCTCTAAAGTTTGTAACCAGCAAGTTGGAAGGTAGAAGATGGTGAGTAGCTATTTATTTTACTAAACATTTTGTACATTTGTTATGTTAAACTTGTTGAAGAAAGCTTAGCTAGTCAGTTTTTAATGTCAGCTCATACCATCTTATTTATAGGGTATTATCTAGGAATAATTAACTAACTATAGTTTGTTATGAAAACAAGTCTCTTTATCGCATTTTAAAATATTATGTAATTGTCGTTGTCAATTGTTCTTATTTACCTATTATATTAAATTACAATATTTTAATAAAAAAGAGTTTTACCAAAATGTTGTTCTAATTCTTCTGTTTACCTAATCTATATATTTAATACGCTAGGCATATTTTTGTCATAATTGTTTTGGAGTGGTAGTGCTACCGATCACCATGTTCACGGTGTCGTTAGACATGTTCAAGGTCTTAGCATGTAGTTTTGCCATCAAACAAAAAAAAACTTTGGAATTCCATCAGGGCTTTGCCCCAGTGGCCTTCAAAGTTCCCATGTTATTCTTAGGGAGAAAATGTTTGTTTATTTTTGAACAGATGAATACTTTGAAATTGACACTAATATTTGAAACAGATGGTTAAACTAAAATTTTTCACAAAATCAAAACATAACCAAAAAAACGTTAGACATAATGGAGACTATAAGACTTTGACCAGGACGGCAAATAGGAAGAGGCCGAAGAACTTTAACTGGTAGACGCGAACAAAATACAAATATGAATAATTTTCCCCAAAATTTCATGCCCAGACCTTTAAAATGAGACCTCCCCCAGCTTTCTACGACCTCCCGTTCGCTCACAATTTCATTGTACAATTTTGGGCTTACGGAATTAGATATATAGATACTATTGTGTGGGTTTAAGTGTGCTCTCCAACAGTCGCCTGAAGATTTCACATTCAATTTATGACTGTTTGATAATCGCTGCATATGCTGTTGATTTTGAAAGACAAGGAGGAGGGTAGGACTAATTTGGAAACAGAAGAGAGGAGATATTTGATGAGTGGCAAATGCGTTGGGAGCACAGTGTTTTATGTTAACGTTTTAAGGGAAAACGTTTGTATACCTAACATCAGAAAGAGACTGGAACAAGATTGGGAGATGAGCCATTATAACGCAGTATGTCACAGGACATTGAAAATTTCAAGGCCATTTTGTGAAGATTTCACATGGTGGAAGAGGAAGTATGTAGATATGGAGAAATAAAAAACACAGTCACGTATTTATAAATTGCTCACTTCAGGAGACAAATAGGAGAGAACAGGAATAAGTCACGGATTAGATAGGCCTAGAGATGAGAAAATAAAACATGATGAGTGACAAGGAAGCAATTGAGACGTTTAGAAAAGTAGCTAGGAAAATAGGAAAAGACAAGGGAAAAAGGGATGAAAACTTGCCCATGAAGGGGAGAGGAAAGGTTAGAGCGAATCTCAATGATCCATATCGCTCAGGGCGGTATGGGGAAGGGAGTCGTGCTGGCTTTTGGACACATATTGTGTCTGGAAACCCAATGCAGCTATGAGTAAGGCTATTTGCAGAAAACGCTAATTACAATAAATGTTTATTATATCGATATATTATGTACATCTTAAGTATTTCCATAATCTTTGAGTCGAATATTGTACGCACCGCGATGTACGCAGACGCACTGAATTTAATGAAATGTGTAATGTAATGAAATTGGTTTTATGGAGCTGAAATATAAGACTGCACATGGAGTAAAACACTGTTTATTGAAAATATGATGAAATTGCTAAAACTGTATAAATGATAATGAATAAATGAAAATATGTAACATGAAACTTGAAATGTAAACTTGATAGTGATGTGTAAAATGAATGCAATTGCAATGCTTGAGAAATTACTACCGACGCGACCGAACGTTGGTGCCTTACTGACGACCTGTGCCACTCACACCCCCGAAGCCCAGGGGTGGGGACGACACTTGCCGTTTTGGCGCGAACATTCCGCCCGCCTTGAAAGGATCCCTTTCAAAAACGTTACATGAAATGAACTAACAAATTGTTATAATACTAAACTACGAAAAACAAACATATTTATACAAGTACATGTTAACAATAATGAGAATGTAAATTACCCTATATAATAAATATGATATGAATGATATAAATCTTGTTTCAATGGAACTTGTAAAATGCATTATGAAACAAATTGAACACGCTAATTTAAGACAATAATGAAAATGAAATGATCAAACGTAAAAATAATAAAATTGCAATCAACCCTTGAATGTTAAATCTAATATATACACGCATTATATGAAATATGAAGAAAAAATATAAAAGATTAAATATACAATGACATATAAATGATAATATAAATTTGACTAGTACGTTAAAATAAAAATATTAATGAATCAAATGAATAATAGATATATAATGAGTTAAATGAGTTTTTACATGACATTTACTAACACAATGAAATATGCAATTTGCAAATTGAAACATAATTGCATGAAATTTATTATTTACATCTTACTTTAAATTGATAAAAAGTAACGAGTTTATGCAAGTAATAAGATGAATTATGATTAAAATAACGAATAATCTTGAAATATATACAGAATTAATTATTTGAATTTACGTACAGACACTGAGCACTCACTGCACATAGAGCACTGATCACTCACTGATTGGTAGCACTCAGAGACGTTTGACTTCAGCAGCCAGGAGTTGCTGCTCTTCTCGGTAGCCACTCGTATGCGACCATCGGCGTCTAGGTGTGACTCGGACTGATGTGATGTGTGGGTCTGGACGTGAATCCCCTGTAATGAAATGACCGGGTGTCAGGGGTGGAAGGTGGTTTGGAACAAATTTCAAAGGATACAGAGGACGGGGGTTATGGCATGCCTCTAATGAATTTGATTTGTCGGATTGCATACGATTGTGATTAGGTCTGATTTTGAGATGTTCCACTTGTGTTTGGCTTGACATCACGCCTTTAGCTGAGTTTTGCCATTGTCTTGAAAATATCTGTGGTCGATGAGACTGCTGATATTGGTATTGCTGCTGCTGAGACGGTTGTGAATGTTGCCTTGTCCGTTGATAGTGTGGAGTCTGCTGACGATGTTGCTTCTGATGAAGTACAGGTGATTGCTGTTGGTCGTGTGCGTTCTTGTTGACGGTAGCATGACATGAAACTGCGACCTTGCTTGTAGGAGTCTTGCCTCCGAATACCCATCCTAATTTAGTATTCTGTAGCGTGGGCATATTGTCTAGTTCAATTCTTCCATTTTCTAGAAGGTTGAAGAAATGTTCCTGACCTAACAAAACATCAATTTTGCCAGGTGTTTGGAATGTTGGATCAGCCAAGGTGATGTTTGTTGGCAGCGGCCATGATGAAGTTTCGATAGGAGATGACGGAATAAGACCCGTTATCTTAGGCAAAACTAAAAATTGAGAGTTAATGGCATGATTATTTGCGAATGAACTTACAGTTGCGTTAACCGTCGATGATACATGAGTATGACCTGTGTGTATGCCCGTGACAATAAGCGAGGATTTCTCCTTCTTTAACTGTAAAGTCTGACAAAGTTCTTCGTTGATAAAGTTTGACTGGCTGCCACTGTCAAGAAGTGCTCTACATGTCAACTGGGTGCCATGAGGGCTGATGATTTTGATCAGGGCTGTCGACAGCAAAACCTCCGAGTTGTTATCTGTGGATGGTGTTGTACAGGTGCCTAGAGACTTGGTGAAGTGTGTCTTAAGTTCTACCGTAGGACATGTGCTGTTAGATTGTAGGTCTTCTACATGTAGCAAAGTATTATGCTTGTAACCACACTTCTTACACCCTGAAGATCTGCATTGTTCAACACGGTGGCCCTGATTCAAACAATTGTGACAGATTCTTGAATTCGACAATAACTTGAGTTTGTCATCATGTGAAGAGTTTATTAGATCATTACAATGGTATATTGCATGATTACCGTTGCAAAGTTTGCAATTTTGCGTCTGAAATTCTTGATACTTGGGTTTGAAAGATTGGTTTTGCCAGTTGGAGTGATTCGAATGTTTCTGTGGTATGGGTGATTTATTAAAAGAGATGTTCTCGAGGATTTTACACCTTTTCTCTAGAAAGTCGGTCAACTGCTTCAGTGTTGGATGCTCTCTAGGCTCAGTTGATAGCTCCCATTCACGTTGTATTGAAGTGTCGAGTTTGGGGATGATTATGTGTATGAGCAAAGTGTCCCAATGCTCTGTTGGTTGATTTAGACATTGCAGTGCCCGAAGATGTGTGTGGAGACTATTGAGAAGTTGCTTGAGTTGTTGAGATGCGTCCTTGTGAATTTGAGGAAGGTTTAAGATCGATTTTACGTGATTTTGCACGATAATTCTCTCGTTTTGGTATTGATGCTTGAGTAACGATAATGCTATTGCATAATTGTGTGCAGTCAGATCTAAATTGTCTAATGTTTTGGCTGCATCGCC